TTCGATTTTTTTTTTTTTTACCTTTTTTATTATAGATTCCATACATTGAGACCAGTGCCAAGGACCCGCCACAGAATGTGGACAAAGCATTTCATGACCTCGTACGAGTAATCAGGTGCGTTCTTTACAGGAAGTGGTGTTTGTGTGTGTGTGTGTGTCAACAGCATTCGAGAGATTCACAACATTAGAGACTGCAGAAAGACTTCCACGATACTAATGAGTAGCAGCCAGCTGCAATTCAAAGCAATCGCGTACCGTCCGTGATAAAACAGCTGCTGAGATAAATCATCCCCGGATCTCAGCCGTGCATTGTATGACCTGACTGGTTGAATTCCACTGAGATGGAAAGAATGAGATGGATGAGGGCACCACAGTTGTGTGCGTCCAGTGAGAGCCAACGCGTTTTCGGCATCTCGGTACTTCCTTCATCTGGACCAACCAATAAGATTATACAAGAAAAGAGACGTGTTTTAGGAGATGTCCTAATACGAGATATGGGGCACAGTGTTCTATTAAAAAAAGCAATGTATAGGGCAGTGATGGCCAGGGGCGTCCCGAGGCTGGGTGACACCCGGAGCGGTAACCCGAGTGTCACCCCGCCGTGACATCACTGCGCATGACATCACCACGCGGGTGCGCGATGACGTCATCGCGCACGCGCGGCAGTATTCTGTTACCTGCCGGTGGCCATCTTGGTGATGGACGCCGGCAGAGAGAGGAGGGGACAGTCACCCGGCGGGATAAGGTATGCCGCCGGGTCCCCTCCTCTCTCCTGATACTGTCATGGACCGTACGGCCGACTTTTCAGAGGGGGGTGACACCAAAATGACTGAGTCGTTTTGGTGTCACCCCTCCAATGGTGGCACAGCAATGCAGAATAAGACCATCAGCTATAGATGACTACATATCCCAGCCATACATTATACAGCAGTGCAGAATCAGACCATCGGCTATGGAGGACTACATATCCCAGCCATACATTATACAGCAATGCAGAATAAGACCATCGGCTATAGAGGACTACATATCCCAGCCATACATTATATAACAATGCAGAATACCACCAACTATAGAGGACTGCATATTCCAGCCATACATTATACAGCAATGCAGAATCAGACCATCGGCTATAGAGGACTACATATCCCAGCCATACATTATACAGCAATGCAGAATAAGACCATCGGCTATAGAGGACTACATATCCCAGCCATACATTATACAGCAATACAGAATACACCACCAGCTATAGAGGACTACATATCCCAGCCATACATTATACAGCAATGCAGAATACACCACCAGCTATAGAGGACTACATAGGGGTGTTGTGCGCTCACATGGGGAGGGTGCTGGTTGTGCGGCTTTGGCTGGGGGTAGGATGTGTTTAACGTGTGGCGGCGGGGAGCTGTGCAGCATAGTTCCGACCGTCCCAGAAATCGATCCGGGCAGATCAGTCTGGCAGCAGCGGCCTCTAAACAGGCATATTAGACGTCTGCTCGCTGAGGCCTCTCAGGGGTCCTAGCGAGGAGGAAGCGGCCGTCTAATAGGCCTGTTTAGAGGCCGCTGCTGCCTGATTGTGACCAGCCCGTATCGAGGCCATCTGGGACGGTCGGATCTATTTTCAGAGGTGGTCGCTGAACCTGGGCTTGCGTGGCGTAGGTTTGCCACCACTGGAATATGACACCTATAACCAGCACCAGGCATGCTGTAGATCTTCTGCTCACAAAGAGATGAAATCATGAGGAATCGTATAATGAGATAATACAAATGACATTTAATATTAAGGACTTCGAATCTATACACAGTATAAAGAAGTATTGTTGTGTAATTACAAGTAATAAGCAGTATAGAAAAAAATGTATTCACATAACTTACAGTATAAATGTCATAACATAAGTTCTAAATGTCCTAGCTCGCATTTATACGATGGGTCATGTGATCAGAACATAACAGCAAATGAATAGAATTAGCATTGTGACCGGACGTACCGAATTGTAATCCATGGTAGATGGCTGGTTGTAATTTGGTACATCCGGTCACACTTTTTATTCCATTAGCTGGTCACGGTGCTAATCCTATTAATTTTCTGTATGTTCTGATCACATGATCCATCATATAAATGTGAACTACAACATATTTATATTTAATATACAAGTTACACTTTTTTATATTATAAATGACACCATCAATTTTACACTCTGATTAATGCTAATTTTTATTTATTTTTATACCTCTTTTTGACTATTACTTGTAATACACAAATTACACTTCTTTTTTTTATACTTTTATGTAGTTTATGATTCTTTAGTCCTTTTTAAAAAATATATATATATATTTTATCACATTACATTTTGATTCCTGATGAGTTAATCACGCTTTGGAAATCAAATATTTTTATGTGGTGTCTTAACAGGTCGGCTAGAACTGAGGTGAGTGAAAAGCACCCCCCCCTCATAGTTCTCCTCCTATTAAGATTTTGAAAATGAGAGAGAGAGTGCTGATTGGTTGCCATGCAGAGCTGCTCCAGATTAAAAAAAATAAAAAATTCCCTTTATTCCCTTTTATTGGCTTTATCAGATGTCCTCCTGCCATGTGCATTAAAATGTACTGGGCTTCCATTATCTGTTCCATCTGCTGGGACCTTTTTGAGCATACCCTAAACTCTGGACATAAAGCCCTATCCCTCATATTCTCGGTCCAGCACATTACCATCGATTAATTAGGATGGAACAGAACAGCACAGTGA